GAAAGCCCTGTGGTCTTAACCTCTCCAGTGTGAGACAGCTTGAGTTGCAGTAATGGGACTATTGCGTGTTATCCAGTCTTATTAATTGTATTTTGGTGTATTTTATTTCTATTGGTTCTATTCCTCTAGTGAACCATGATGAACAAAGACACTAACTGATATATTTCTAGAATAATAACTTTTTAAAGAAATATTCATTGGCCATTTAAAATATTTTTTAAATAAATGGTAAATTTTCATTTCAGAGTACTCTTTGTCTTGTTGCTATTCTTTCCAAAGGCAGATAAGAAAGAAGAGAAATAGTGTTATTTAATGAATGCATATCATAAAAACTAGTTGACTCTAAAAAACAGGCATTCTTCAAAGGAGACATTTAATGCTTTCCACACAAAGCTAAAACCAGCTGCACATGGACTGAAAGGTCAAATATTCTCACATATTTTCTTTGCACAGTTCTCACAGCGACCTTAATCCTCCTTAGTAACGTGACTTTGAGCACTCTATTTTCTTATTCTAATATATTAACAGAAGGCATATGATCCAAAATGAAAATAATAAACTTATTTAACAGTCATGATATTTTGAACATTATTATTATTTTATGCCATAGAACTCTCACATTATAACCTAATTTGACAGAAGTAAGGTGATGCCAATTCATCAAAAATTGGTATAAGACAGGTTTACAGACTTGCTAAGGATGACATCCCAGGATTCCAATTAACTTCACATATAAACAATATTTTAGTTTGGTGAAAATCTAATGTCAAGTGCATTCTAAATAAGAGTAGTTTTTGTCTCTGAGATTAGTAACTCTACATTGTTACTAACTTGGTAGAACAGTTATATATGCAGGCTTGTTGCTGTTGGTGTTCAGTGGTCCATAGAATGAGAAGTTCTAGGTTTGCTTCCATAAAACATATCAACATTATTTCCTCAATTGTCATTTATATTAGTGAATATTTTTTTCTAGATCATGCATATATGTTTCCTTTACTAACAATACTCCCTTTTGAGATAACAGATTTGGAAGCATTCTCTTGTCAGCCAGACTTGTGGTATATAGTTACAGGAATGTTCCTCCAGGTACTCAACTGGAAAGTTTTAACTTAATGATCATCATCACAATATCTCCTACATATCAGGTTCCTTTACAAATGGAAATTCATTGAATAGTTGAAGACTTGGTAAGGCACTTGTTGGAAATTGATTGACTTACAATCTCTCCCTTTTCCTGTCTTTTTATTAGCCTCTATGACAATATTTCTGTTTGATTTTTAGTTAAATTGACACTGTTATTCAATCCACATCTTTTCTAATGTGAATTCTCACAGAAATGGGATGTTAAAACATTTGGAACAAATTATAAGCTGATTAAAAGTGTTTCAAAATAAAATTGCACAAATGTTTTATCTATTTATTCTTTGAGTTGGTCTATTATTCCAAATTGAAGATAATATCTGAGGTGCATTAAAGTGTTAAATAAAATATTTTATAAATGTGGAATACCTTTGTGACAGCCCAAATGTTGACAATGAGGATTTCTCTTTCATTAATAAAACTTTCCTATTCCCTACTAATTGAAAACATTTTTTCCAAAATAACAATGTATTATTTCCAAGGTTTAAAGGCATCAAAATGCAATATAGAAAATGAGTATATTGACACAGCTTGACACAGCTTTTCAACTGAACAAACTTGCAGCTATCCTCATCATCTCCAGTCATCAGAATGTCTGTGCACCTCCAGTCACTGGGGAAGTCTGTGTATCTCAAACTACTTCATCTCGATTCTAAACCTACAAGCTCTCTTAGGTTATTGAGTCATTTTAGGTTTGTTTTCATAACAATTTACTTTTTTAATTTTAATTTTTGAGATTAAATACAATTTCATCACTTCTCTGTCTCTTTTTCTCTCCCCAAACCCTTCTGTGTACATTCTTCTGTCCTCTTTTAAATTCATGGACTTTCTTTTATTCATACACACATATGTCTATGGTGTGTGTGTATGTGTGTGTATATGTGTGTATATATACCCACATATACACACACATACACACACACATAAATTTCTTAAATGCATAAATACAACCTGCTTTGTCTGCATAGTGTTACATGTCCATGTTTTCAGGACTGAACTGGTTTTGCATTACTAATTGATATGCTCCTCCTTGGGGAATACTATTTCTCCAACTCTCAACAACTGCAATTGCCTACAATTCTTTGTCTATAATTGGGTCCTCATGAAATTTTCATTTTCCAAATTATAATGTCTACTGGTGTCATTTTTTTTCAAATTATGTCTTGGCAGTCAGCCATGTTGGTGATACTTCAAGGGTGTAGCTTTTGGCATTTCTCAGTTTTACAAAAAACTGCCTGTTCCTCTGGCCTTATTCTCTTCCCTCCCTCCCCACCTTCTGAAATAATCTCTGAGTCTTAGGTGCACAGATTGTTATGTAGGTACATCAGTTAGGACAGGGCACCAAAATTTGTATTTCTTATTAATTATTGTCTTCATTTAGTGCAAAAAGAAATTTCCTTGCCAAGGGGTGAGAACTAGGCTTATCTGTGAATATAAGGACAATTATTTAGAGTGTAGTTAAGGACTGTATGAAAAGTTGTAGCTGTAGATTCTCCACTAAGATCCATAATTACACTAGTCCCAGGTAGTAAAAATGATTTTCAGTACCAGGAAGATTTCTTTCTGATGATCAGGTCTGAAAATTACCAATATTACTAATGTGACACTTTAAATAAAATCAATTTTCAATTGATTTTTTAAATAATTGGTACTAGCATAAACACATACTATATATTTTAGGAGCAAGACTAAAAAAAAAAAATTAAGTACTTTACCTAAATTGGCAGTTTGTTAGTCTATAGAAGAATTAGAAATGAGATGTTTGACATTCAAATCCTTAATAAATATTAATACATACTCAAGCATAGGATTTAGGTTGATAATGTACTTTCACAACAAAAAGTTGTGAGAATATTCTTATAAAATTAGATAATGTCCACTTAAATAAATGTGTTATTATATATACATATCATAGATACATGATACACATATGTGTTATATGTTATTAATCAGTCCTAGGGATCCAACAAATATTAGTCTTGCACATCTAGGCAAGCAAAAACTCAGTAAGGTACATTCCCAGCCCAATAAATTATATTATCTCAGTCAGAATGAGGAGTATTAGATGATAATACTTAGGAGTAAAATTTTAATATTGTAAGTTTCTAAATTATAACACTAAAAACTATAGCAAATAGAATTGGTTAAGAAGACAAGAGGAGAGTTTCATAGTTCTTATTCAATAATAGCTTGAATGATGAACCCAGTAAATCCATACCTTTTCTGAGATGAACAGAACTAGGGAGCTAGTTTGTAACTCAGAGGGAAATTTTCTACAGGCTGAGAGGTGGCCTATGAGACAAAAGGGGATGGGCTGGGGTTTGGTGCAGGTGTTAGGGGAGGATGGGAGTATGAGGGAACTGGAATTAACATGTAAAATGATACATGTATTAAAACAATAGAAAGGAACATACAACTATGAAAGAATCATTTGTTGACTTGCTGTTTTAATTTAAAATTTATAAGGTTCATTTGAGTTATAAACAAGCAAACTTTAACAGCATCTGGGTGTTTTCAGGAATCTAGCATACCACTAGATTCTCTGTACTGTACTGTGTATTCAGCCACTTTCATTTAACAAATATCTGGATTTGTCTTGCTCACAGAATAAAACCTTCCACATTTTGGGGCTTTCAAATCTGAGAAAAATTTAAAGAACTTGTGATTTTAGAAAAAAAGACAAATGGCTTATTCGTGTGTGTGTGTGTGTGTGTGTGTGTGTGTGTGTGTGTGTGTGTGTGTGTACATCTGCATGGGTATGCTCAGGTACATTTTCATACTACACATGTGGAGGTCAGAGATTGACCTCAGGTGTCTTCCTCTATCAGTCCCTGCCTTGTTTGTTTCTTTTGTTGTTTGTTTATTAAAATATTTATTTATTTATTTTCTTATTTTATATATTTATCCCAATTCCCTCTCTGTCCCTCCCTCTCTCTACCCCACCCTCCATGCCCCTGACAACTCTTCCATTCCACCCACCCCCACTCCACATGTAGGGTGATGCCTTCCAAGAGGGATCATCAAAATCTGTCAAGTCATTTGGAGTAGGGACTAGGCTCTCCCTCCTGCCTCTAGGTTAAGGGAGTATCCCTCCATGGGGAACGTGCTCCCAAAGTGCACCAGGGATACGTCCTGGTTCCACTGTCAGAGGTCCTTTAGACTGCCAGGCCTTCTAACTGAGACCCATGTTGGATTCCTAGATATCAGTTTGGGGGCCCATTAGCTCCTCCTTATTCAAGTCAGCTGTCTCTGTGACTTTCTGTAGCTTGATCGTGTGCTCCCTCTCTGCATTTGGATTTCAGTTC